CTCACCTTCCCTCTCCTCACCTTCCCTCTCATTGAATTTGTCGTCAATTTTCAACGTTATTTTCAATTAGCGTCGCCGCTCCGCCTTAAACACAAAAATAATAAATTGTCAGTGTGTGTGTGTGTGTGTGTGTGTGTGTGTGTGTGTGTGTGTGTCTGTGTCTGTGTCTGTGTGTGATGTCTGTGTGTGTCTGTGTGTCTGTCTGTGTGTCTGTGTCTGTGTGTCTGTGCCTGTGTGTATGTGTGTGTGTGTGTCTTTGTGTGTGTGTGTGTGTGTCTTTTGTGTGTGTGTGTGTGTGTCTGTGTGTGTGTCTGTGTGTGTGTGTGTGTGTCTTTGTGTGTGTGTGTCTTTGTGTGTATGTGTGTGTGTGTGTGTATGTGTCTGTGTGTGTGTGTGTGTACTCATATATTCATAATTGCACGGGCCAAGACTCGGCTCCTGGCCCCCAGACTCAGCTCCTGGCCCCCAGACTCAGCTCCTGGCCCCCAGACTCAGCTCCTGGCCCCCAGACTCAGCTCCTGGCCCCCAGACTCAGCTCCTGGCCCCCAGACTCAGCTCCTGGCCCCCAGACTCAGCTCCTGCCCCAAGACTCAGCTCCTGGCCCCCAGACTCAGCTCCTGGCCCCAAGACTCAGCTCCTGGCCCCAAGACTCAGCTCCTGGCCCCCAGACTCAGCTCCTGGCCCCAAGACTCAGCTCCTGCCCCCAGACTCAGCTCCTGGCCCCAGACTCAGCTCCTGGCCCCAGACTCAGCTCTGGCCCCAAGACTCAGCTCCTGGCCCCAAGACTCAGCTCCTGGCCCCAAGACTCAGCTCCTGGCCCACCAGACTCAGCTCCTGGCCCCCAGACTCAGCTCATGGCCCCAAGACTCAGCTCCTGGCCCCCAGACTCAGCTCCTGGCCCCCGACTCAGCTCCTGCCCCCCAGATTCAGCTCCTGGCCCCAAGACTCAGCTCCTGGCCCCCCAGACTCAGCTCCTGGCCCCCAGACTCAGCTCCTGGCCCCAAGACTCGGCTCCTGGCCCCAGACTCAGCTCCTGGACCCAAGACTCAGCTCCTGCCCCCCAGACTCAGCTCCTGGCCCCCAGACTCAGCTCTTGGCCCCCAGACTCAGCTCTTGGCCCCCAGACTCAGCTCCTGGCCCCCAGACTCAGCTCCTGGCCCCCAGACTCAGCTCCTGGCCCCAAGACTCAGCTCCTGGCCCCCAGACTCAGCTCCTGGCCCCAAGACTCAGCTCCTGGCCCCCAGACTCAGCTCCTGGCCCCCAGACTCAGCTCCTGGCCCCAAGACTCAGCTCCTGGCCCCCAGACTCAGCTCCTGGCCCCCAGACTCAGCTCCTGGCCCCAAGACTCAGCTCCTGNGCCACCAAGACTCAGCTCCTGGCCCCCAGACTCAGCTCCTGGCCCCCAGACTCAGCTCCTGGCCCCCAAGACTCAGCTCCTGGCCCCCAAGCTCAGCTCCTGGCCCAAGACTCAGCTCCTGGCCCCAGACTCAGCTCCTGGCCCCAAAACTCAGCTCCTGGCCCAACTAGTCTGCCCAGCTCAGCTCCTGGCCCCAGACTCAGCTCCTGTCTCTCTCCAGTGACAACCATTTTTTTCTGTTTTCTAGTATTTATCTGTTCACGATTTTATTTTTTCCTCTTTTTATATAGTTTTTATATAGTTTTTATATAGTTTTTATATAGTTTTTTATATAGTTTTTATATAGTTTTTTATATAGTTTTTTATATAGTTTTTATATAGTTTTTTATATAGTTTTTTATATAGTTTTTATATAGTTTTTTTAGTTTTTATATAGTTTTTTATAGTTAGTTTTTTATATAGTTTTATGTTTTTATATAGTTTTTTATATAGTTTTTTAATAGTTTTTTATATAGTTTTTTATATTAGTTTTTTATATAGTTTTTTTTATATAGTTTTTTATATAGTTTTTATATAGTTTTTTATATTTATAGTTTTTTATATAGTTTTTTATATAGTTTTTATATAGTTTTATATAGTTTTTTATATAGTTTTTTATATAGTTTTTTATATAGTTTTTATATAGTTTTTTATATAGTTTTTATATAGTTTTTATATAGTTTTTATATAGTGTTTTATATAGTTTTTTATATAGTTTTTATATAGTTTTTATATAGTTTTTATATAGTTTTTTAATAGTTTTTTATATATTTTTATATAGTTTTTAATAGTTTTTATATAGTTTTTATATAGTTTTTTATATAGTGTTTTAATAGTTTTTAATAGTTTTTATATGTTTTATATGTTTTATATAGTTTTATATAGTTTTTTATTTTAATAGTTTTATATAGTTTTAATAGTTTTATATAGTTTTATAAGTTCTTAATAGTTTGTTAAGTATATGTTTTTATAGTTTCTATATTTGTTTTTGCTAAGTGTCCAAACACGTTCTGCGTTAAGTGTGATACTTTTAGTCTCTATATTGTCCGTCTTGTGTCCTAATGTTGTTGTGTGTGCTAATTGTCCGTCGGTGTCCAGACAAACTGTTGATTAATCGTAAAAATGTTTCTGTGTGCCTAAATGTGTCCGTCTGTGTGTCCGGCCTAATGTGTCCGTCTGTGTGTCCGGCCTAATGTGTCCGTCTGTGTGTCCGTCCTAATGTGTCCGTCTGTGTGTCCGTCTTGTGTCCGTCTGTGTGTCCGTCCTAATGTGTCCGTCTGTGTGTCCGGCCTAATGTGTCCGTCTGTGTGTCCGGCCTAATGTGTCCGTCTGTGTGTCCGTCCTAATGTGTCCGTCTGTGTGTCCGTCCTAATGTGTCCGTCTGTGTGTCCGGCCTAATGTGTCCGTCTGTGTGTCCGTCCTAATGTGTCCGTCTGTGTGTCCGTCCTAATGTGTCCGTCTGTGTGTCCGGCCTAATGTGTCCGTCTGTGTGTCCGTCCTAATGTGTCCGTCTGTGTGTCCGTCCTAATGTGTCCGTCTGTGTGTCCGGCCTAATGTGTCCGTCTGTGTGTCCGGCCTAATGTGTCCGTCTGTGTGTCCGTCCTAATGTGTCCGTCTGTGTGTCCGCCTAATGTGTCCGTCTGTGTGTCCGTCCTAATGTGTCCGTCTGTGTGTCCGTCCTAATGTGTCCGTCTGTGTGTCCGTCCTAATGTGTCCGTCTGTGTCCGTCCTAATGTGTCCGTCCTAATGTGTCCGTCTGTGTGTCCGGCCTAATGTGTCCGTCTGTGTGTCCGTCCTAATGTGTCCGTCTGTGTGTCCGTCCTAATGTGTCCGTCTGTGTGTCCGTCCTAATGTGTCCGTCTGTGTGTCCGTCCTAATGTGTCCGTCTGTGTGTCCGGCCTAATGTGTCCGTCTGTGTGTCCGTCCTAATGTGTCCGTCTGTGTGTCCAGCCTAATGTGTCCGTCCTAATGTGTCCGTCTGTGTGTCCGTCCTAATGTGTCCGTCTGTGTGTCCGGCCTAATGTGTCCGTCTGTGTGTCCGTCCTAATGTGTCCGTGTGTCCGTCCTAATGTGTCCGTCTGTGTGTCCGTCCTAATGTGTCCGTCTGTGTGTCCGTCCTAATGTGTCCGTCCTAATGTGTCCGTCTGTGTGTCCGTCCTAATGTGTCCGTCTGTGTGTCCGTCCTAATGTGTCCGTCCTAATGTGTCCGTCTGTGTGTCCGGCCTAATGTGTCCGTCCTAATGTGTCCGTCTGTGTGTCCGTCCTAATGTGTCCGTCTGTGTGTCTGTCCTAATGTGTCCGTCTGTGTGTCCGTCTTAATGTGTCCGTCTGTGTGTCCGTCCTAATGTGTCCGTCTGTGTGTCCGTCCTAATGTGTCCGTCTGTGTGTCCGGCCTAATGTGTCCGTCTGTGTGTCCGCCTAATGTGTCCGTCTGTGTGTCCGTCCTAATGTGTCCGTCTGTGTGTCCGTCCTGTGTCCGTCTGTGTGTCCGTCCTAATGTGTCCGTCTGTGTGTCCGTCCTAATGTGTCCGTCTGTGTGTCCGGCCTAATGTGTCCGTCTGTGTGTCCGTCCTAATGTGTCCGTCTGTGTGTCCGTCCTAATGTGTCCGTCTGTGTGTCCGTCCTAATGTGTCCGTCTGTGTGTCCGTCCTAATGTGTCCGTCTGTGTGTCCGTCCTAATGTGTCCGTCTGTGTGTCCAGCCTAATGTGTCCGTCTGTGTGTCCGGCCTAATGTGTCCGTCTGTGTGTCCGGCCTAATGTGTCCGTCTGTGTGTCCGGCCTAATGTGTCCGTCTGTGTGTCCGGCCTAATGTGTCCGTCCATTCAACGTCCTCGTCTCGTGCGTCGGCTCATCTAACGTGTCCGTCGTGACGCATCCGTCCGTCTAATAACTCTTTTCTTCTGTCCTCGCGCGTCCTAACGTGTATCCGTCCGCCTAATCTACCCTCCGTCTTTCTATACGTCTGATGTAATTGTTTTCCCGTCTCTTGCGTGTCTCATGTAAAAAATAACTTAAATTACCTTATTACACGACTGTTACCCAGAAGTCACTATATTACTGTTTTTATTATGACCTTAAATATCCCTAAGGGATACATAGGTATACCTGTTAATTTGGTTGTAAAGGGGGATATTATAATTGTACATAACTCCCCCCCCTCCCTTCCACTCTTCCTTGAGGATTTAGCGCTTCTTGTTAGCTGTGAAGATGATGATAAGGCAATTACGAGTGCAAATTGAGTACTTGTACTCTGCGTGTAATTGAGTGCCGCTAATGGTACTCAGGGATATTTACGCCATCTTTTATGGAGAGTATTTTACCGCAACAGAACACTGTTTCTGTTAGCCATAACAGCAACACATTACCTAGAGGCTCACAACGGAGCACTGAGGTCCTGTTAGAGGTAACAGACTGCCATATAACCTCGCAACAGAACACTGAGGACTTGTTAATAGCAACAGAAAATCGAGCACCTGTTGGCTGCAACAAAAAACGGTGGCACTCATGAACCCAGATGGTGGTGTGGTACTCGTGTTCCCAGATGGTGGCACTCATGATCCCAGATGGTATCACTCATCTCAGATGGTATCACTCATGATCCCAGATGGTATTACTCATGAACCCAGATGGTGGCACTCATGATCACAGATGGTGTAATGATCCCAGATGGTGTTACTCTTTCACACTGGCCACTTTATTAGGTACTTCCTCCTAGTACTGGGTAAGGCCTCCGTTTGCCCCCAGAATTCTTGGTGTCATGGATTCAACAAGGTGCTGGAAACCTTCTTTAGAGATCCTGGTCCTTGTTGACATGATAGCACCACACAGTTGCAATAGATTTGTTGGCTGCACATTCATGCTGTGAATCTCCCATTCCACTTCATTACAAAGGATTACGCCAAGTTCTGACACTACCATCTGCATGCTGCAGCAGAGAGAGTCATTCCTCAGACCAGGCGACGTTTTTCCAGTCTAAGTTAGTGTCCAGTGTCTGGTGAGCCAGTGTCCACTTTAGCCTCAGTTTCCTATTCTTAGTTGACAGGATTCGTACCTGGTGTGGTCTTTCAGTGTGATAACCATCCACCTCAAGGTTCGACGTGTTGTGCATTCACAGATGCTCTTCTGTATACCTCTGTTGTAACGCATGGTTATTTGGGTTATTGTCACCTTCCAATCAGCTTGAACCAGCCTGGTAATTATCCTCTGATCTCTCTCATTAACAAGGCGTTTTCGCCCACAGAACTGTCCCTCACGAGATGTTTTGTGTTTTTCACACCATCACTGTGAAGTCTACAGACTGATGTGTGAAAATCCCAGATCAGCCGTTTGAGATACACAAACCAGTTCGTCTGTCTGGCACCAACAATCATTCCACAGTCACAGTCACTTAGATCACATTTCTTCCTCATTCTGATATTCAGTCTGAACAACAACTGAACCTCTTGACTATGTCATTCATTCATTCATTAGAGGTTTGCCGGTACTTCCGGCCCGGGTCTTCTCCATATGGGTTTTAATACAAAGTTTGAGTGTTCCCAACATTACAACAAATCTGTGTCGTCTGTGATGGCACAGCGTTTAGTGCTGGGTATAGGTCAAGACTCGAGCCAATTTTATTCATTGTGGGCTTTGACGTTGTGAAGACGTACACACACACACACACACACACACACACACACACACACCATACACACCATACACACACACACCATACACACATACCACACACACACACACCATACACACACCACACACACCTCACACACACACACACACACACACCATAACACCACCACACACACACACACACACACACAACACACACACAAACAAACACACCCCACACACACACACACCCCACACACACACAACCACACAAAACAACACAAAACACACACCACACACACACACACACACACACACCACACACACACAACACACACACACAACACCACACACACACCACACACACAACCACACACACACCACAACACACACACACACCACACACACATCCACACACCAACACACAACACACAAACACACACACACACACCACCCCACAACACACACACACAAACACACCATACAAACACACACACCACACACACACACACACACCATACACACACACCACAACACACACCATACACACATACCACACACACAAAACACCATACACACACAATACACACCACACACACACCACACACACAACCACACACACACACACATACACACACCACACACACACACACCATACATACACACACACACAACACACACACACACCACACACACACCCAACACACACACACACACACACACACACACACACACACACACACACACCACACACACCACACACACACACACACACACACACACCATCACACACTCCACACACACACCCACACACACACACACCACACACACCACACACACAACACACCCCCACACCCCACCACACACACACCCCACAACCACACAACACACAAAACACCCACACACACACCACACACAAACACACACACACACCACACACACACACACACACCACACACACACCCACACACCATACACACACCACACAAAAACACCCCCACACACACACACACACCACACACACCACACACCATACACACACACAAACACACCCCACACACACACACCACCAACACACACCACAACACACCACAAACACACCTACATACACACAACACACACACCAACACACACACACACCAACACACACACCACACACACAACACAACACACATCACCACACACACACACCATACACACACCACACACACAAAACACCACACACACACACACACACCATAACAACACCCCACACACACACACACACCAACACACACACCAACACACATCACACACACACACACACACACACACAACAAAACATACACCACACACAAACACGCACACACACGCACACACACACATACCCCTACAAAATACACAACATACACACACACACACACATACACATACACACACACACACACATACACACGGTCACTCGACCCCCGCAACCTCAACTAGGTGAGTGTACACACACACACACGTATCGCAAGGGGTTCTTGAATGGAGATATCGTAGGATAAGGTAGACACACTTGTAGGATGGTAGGTGTATTGTCAGACTGAGATGAGAGATGGAGCCCGGTGCCTAGCCTGTTCACGCCTTGTAGGTCTGCCGCCGAGTGAGAGCGGGACAGAGGGATCACTGCCCATGTGTATCCCTATGACGTCACACAAAGCCACAGGCCTACGAGGGGTCTCGTGTCTAAAGCACATGGATGATGCTACTGCTATGCTATATAATACTGGGAATACAGGATCACAACTATGCTGACAGCTCGTCCATGTTACGTATGTCGTCCCGACATACACTACTATACTAAAGGCTGAACAGGCAGCGGATCTGGGCTGATTCATACAATAAAAAAATTCATATATAACTTAGAACTAATGGATGGTAAAAACATGTTTTTTGACGTAATGGGTGTTAACGTAATCATTACAAACTATAAGAACAAATCATTATACAATATGGATGGAATTGACCCGATCGATCTGTATTCAATGCACTCTACGGATTCTGAGGAAGAATATTTATAACAAGAAGTGTTTAACAGAAAGACAGATCGTGCACACAAATCTAGACTGTTAATTCTCAGAATACGGAGGGAACGTGAACACGAAAATTTCTGACAAACGATCAGCTAATAATAAAACACACAATTGACAAATTCATTCATCTGGGACATCTAATTATACAGACTATGTACATTTAAACCCAATTCCTGCGAGGTAAGTTTACGTATGCAGAATGGTTTATCATCTCTGGGGGGGTCGAATTCCTCTGCAAGGCTAACACATCCTTTGATTTGAGAAAAGATCTGAAGGAAAAACTACAAAAGATACTTGGGGGTTTTCCCTCATTACTTGCCCGAGTACGCAAGGAGTAACGACATTCGGGTTGAGTATCTGACTGAGTATCTGAGGTAAGAGTACAGATCAAGAGGATTGTCAGAGTCTGTCTCATTAGTCTGGTAGCAATATCCTCAACATCGCATACTAATTTCATATGATCTAAAATGCGATTCTTTGTATTTGCCAGTACTAATTTCTCTAACCTTATACTTATTTCCAGTGATATGTTCAACTACTCGATAAGGCCCGACAAACTTTTGATCAAGCTTTGGCATTGCAACGTTTTGTTAAAGTTAATCACATAACTCTCAAACCTACTTTGATTTTAGATGGCTTTGCTCGAGTGTTTGCGACTCTTGTAAATTCTGCTGTTGATTATGAAGTGTTTTCACGGATTCTTCTAAAAACACTTTGAGCTAAGCTGGAAACAGTTGCTACGAAATCATCAGGGTTGTAATTAGGTTTGGGAGTAGAATTAATAACAACTCATAGGGTAAACGCTTGTCTACCCCATACAATGCATAATGTGGAGTATCACCTATGGAAGCATTGTAAGCAGAATTTAGGGCACACTGGACATCTGGTATAACTTCATCCCAAGTTTCACTATTGGGGTTGATAGTGGCTCTCAGAACATCAAGTACTTTCTTTTTTGGTTCTTTCGGCTAACCCTTGCTGGCAGATGATGAGGAACAATGGTGGATTAGAGATTTTTGTATAAAGTTACACAAATTTTCAAGAATCTCATTACAGAATTCACCTCCTTTTTATCTTTACTAAGGACTTTGGGGTGGTATGCCTGCAGAAATGCTTCTTTAAACGCTCTAGCAACTGTCTCTGCAGTCTTATCTGCAATAGGAACTAGTTTCACAATATCTGGTGAAATGGCTACCAAACACACAGATTGTTGCCTTGGAGGGAACATTTAAAATTATTTTAAAAATCAAGGGCAACTCTTTCCCACGGTTCGCTAGTGGTTGGGTACATTTGGGATTGGGTTAGGACCATTGACATTTCCTTTATGCGGCATACAGACACTACATTTCTTAACATACTCGAAATGTCAGTTGCCAAAACGTGGCCAAAAGTATTTCATTCGGGCTTGTTTCAAAACGATCCATACCAGGTGTGCAACACGGGGTGCATCATGAACTAGCTGTAGAGCTACGTCACTAGTGACTGGGGAATTACTAACTGGAAAAACTCTTCTGCTTGGAGTACCCAACTCGGCTTTCGATACAGTAATTCCTGACTCATTACAAAGTCACTAATGGGTGCTGGTGGCTTTACAGTAAGAATGGGATCTTCCTGGAGAAGGATCGAATCACACCAGACCACATGGGATCTAGTCTTTGTGCAAGTTTTGACATCCTCGACAGTAAATGGAGGATCTGCATAACTACACTAACGTGTCGCGATAAAGCACTGCGACTACATTTGACTTGCCAGGAAATGTTCAAAGTGGGATTGAACTTTTGGGATAGTAAAGGGACCATCGGGCTAACCTTCCAGTAGGCTGTTGTTCTGGAATAAAGGTATCAGTGGCGCATGATCTGTCAAGACATGAACGGGGTACTGGTAAATGATGTCTCGGAAGTGCTTTAAAGACCACACTATTGCTAAGGCTTCTTGCTCCTTACTGTATAATTACGTTCACCTTCCGTAAGGACTCGGCTAGCAAATCCCAACTG